AAAGGAACTCTGAAGTATGGAGTGTTATTTCCCTCTGGAGGAAATAATGAGTCAGAACTTCTGAGTTATTCAGACTCTGATTGGTGTGGAGACAGAGTTGACAGAAGAAGTACATCTAGGTACTTGTTCAAATTTCTAGGAGGTTCCATTTCTTGGTGTTCCAAGAAGCAACCTGTTGTGGCGTTGTCAACCTGTGAAGCTGAATACATTGCAGGTGTTGTTACTGCATGCCAAGCTGTGTGGATTCTGAATCTGTTGAAGGATCTGAAGATTAAAATAGACAAATCTCTGAAGTTGATGATTGACAACAAGTCTGCAATCAATCTTGCCAGAAACCCAGTGTTGCATGGGAGAAGCAAGCATATTGAGACCAAGTATCATTTTCTGAGACATCAAGTTCAGAGTGGAGTGTTAGAAGTTGTACACTGCAGCACTCAGAAGCAGTTGGCAGATGTTCTGACGAAAGCTATCAAGACTGATCAATTTCTTAGACTAAGAGATGGAATTGGTGTTACAAGTTTTGATGGAATATGAATTAAGGGATGGTATTAGAATATTAATAGTAATTTATATTTATTTAGTTGTACTATTTTCTTAGCCCCTAAGTTTGTTAGAGGGTATTTTAGTATTTTATCTTATTCTAGTAACCCTAGTTTTAGCTTATAAGTAGGGTGACAATCATTGTAACTTTAATCATGTTTTGTAGCCGTCATTCTTAATAGAATATTTCCTTTGATCATCATTTATTCACCTTTGCACCAACATCAACAAAGTAATGAATCCACATACCAATATTTTATTTTGATAACAACAACAAACTCACAGCCATTTGTAATCAAATAATGTGAAATCATTTAAAAAGAATTGAAGCAAATTTTAAAACAATGAAGGTAGCGAACTTGAAAATGAGCCAAAATACACAAACTTGTCCACCTAATCAACCTCAGATCTACCAGGTGGTAGAGACATAATAAACTTTGAAACCTACATATCATACATATCTCAAGAGATCTCGTTAACGATTGAAGATGATCTCACGGGTTATTTAATAAAAAATGACGACGAATCGATTCCACCACCAAAGTAAATGTCAGATTTCTATTAATAGGAATCACGAATACAATACAACTTTAAATTTAGGTATGACAACAGGGCGGGAAGAGAGTAAGTTTAAGAATTACCAGTCTTGTCCCACCTCCCTATACCAGTCCCGCCTCTGCATCCAAACTCATTTAGGAGTAACAATTGACCACACACCTTCGCCAATGCTCCGGTGATTAAAAAAATAGGTTTTCTTCACATCTGTTCCCAATTAAATCTGATTTTTCATTAGATTTAGGATGAGAAAGGTCATATACGACTGAGTTCATTTTGGTTTTGCCATGCCTACTTGAATCTTCACTCCAAACTAGTCATTTTGCTTCAGATTGCTGGTTTGGAAAGGGAAACTAAAGACCGTGCAGAGGAAGCTAATATGGTGCAAGATGGTTCAGATTCAGATCTTATCATGCCAATGATAACTACCTCTGAAAGAGTTCCAACTTTTGATGTGTGATACTTAGACTCTGGTTGTTTTAACTAAATGACTGGACACAAGGGGTGGTTGGCTGACTTTAACTCAAACAAGAAGACAAACATAAAGATGACAGATAGTAGAAGCTTAATGGTAGAAGACATGGACACAATTATCATACAAAGAAAGGAAGGAAAAATAACATTGATAGAAGATGTGTTATTTGCCCCTGGTATGCAATGTAATCTGCTGAGCATTTGTCAGATGATAGAGAAACAATACTCAATAATCATGGAAGGAGGCTCATTGAAGTTATATTACAAGAAGAAAAGAATGGTTCTAAAATTAACTCTGATCATAAATAGAATCTGGAAGGCTAGTTTGAAGGCACTACAACAGAAATGACTTTTAGCAGCGCATTAAAAGACAGGGCTTTCTGAAAAAGCGCTGCTAAAAGAGTCTTAAAAATAAAAAGAAAAAATTGCATACCTACAACAGCGCTTTCTAAAAAAGCGCTGCTAAAGAGGGGGGGGGGGGGTCAAAGATAGCGCTTTAAAAAAGCGCTGCTAAAGGGGGGCCTAAGACAGCACTTTTAAAAAACGCTGCTAAAAAATAGTGTATTATATAGATTCATTGGATGACGATACAACAAAATATCCTGATCTGAAGAACATGGTTGATACGTAAGTGATGAGATATACTGTTCTGAATAGTTATATATCTTTATTTATTATGTGACATTGTTCTAAATATGCGTTTATATTATGATAGAGTTATACAAATATTCAGAGTACAAAGAGATGCAACAGTGCCAAAAAGCAAGGCTAACAACATCAGCTGGATCAGAGTGGAGGTATATTTTCCCATGTTTGACTGTTATAGTGGTTCTACTTGATAAAACTATTTAAACTATATATCCTGATAAATGTTTGTTTGTTTTTTCCATTTACAGTGTCCTCGTCAGCGTAATGGGATTGACTGCGGATATTTTATATTGCGCTTTATGAAGGAAATTATTCTTTCAGGTCAAATAGAGATTCCAATCATGGTATGGATCAATTCATAAGTTATATGATTCATTTTGATAATTAACCGATATTTCATCTGAGTAATTAGTTTTAAAATTAAATCGTGCATGTTCTGTTATATTATGTAGTACTTTGATGAATACAAGTGCGGTACTTACTCGAAAGCAAGATTGGAAGAAATTAAGGAGGACTGGTGTCAATTTATTCTTGAGTTGAGAATTGTATAACGTATCTATTTGTAAAGTTATCGGATTTGTAATTATATGTAAATTGAATGTATTTGTGATGTTGTAAATTGAATGTATTTGTGATGTTGTAATATATTTAAACAGGTTTATGTGTATTAAAATGGTTATGGGCAAAGTGATGAATACACATAAATAAGGTCAAAGTAATTGTTATATATAAGGCCAAACTGTTTAATTAAAGGTCTGAATTATAAGCAGGGAATGTAATTGTTATAAGCAGGTTTATTGAAAAATATATAAAAAATGTGATTATTAAAAAAAATTTTTTTAAAAATTGTGAAGAATAGACAGCGATTTTAAAAAAAGCGCTGCTAAAGGGGGCAAAGAGAGGCCAAAAAAGCGCTGCTATAGGTTGGAAAAGGGGGGGGGGTCTAAGAAATCGCTGCTAAAGGGGGGTCACAGAAAGCGCTTTAAAAAAGCGTTGCTAAAGGGGGGGCCTAAGACAACGCTTTTAAAAAGCGCTGCTAAAGGGGGGGAGGGGAAAGCGTTGCTATAGGGTGAACAAAACGCTACTAAAAGCGTTGCTGAAGGGAGGGGAAGGCGGAATAGGCAGTGCTTTGAAAGCGCTGCTAAAGGGCTAAGAAAGCGTTGCTGAAGGGAGCATTTAACAGCGCTTTTTCAATAAAAAAAGTGTTGCCTTTACCTTTAGCAGCGCCACTTTTGGCGGCGCTTTTAAGCGCTGCTAAGGTCTTTTTTGGCATAATGAGACCTCAGAATCACGTTGTCTTTATTCATCAATTCCTGATGAATAAAGCTAACTTTGGCACAAAAGGTATGTGCATCTGTATTTTAGAAGTCTAGGAAAGTTGAATACTATGAATTTAGTATAAGGATTGTCTAAGATAGTGACACCTGATAAAGCACGTGACATTTGCATGCTTGGGAAGCAAAATAGGCTACCTTTTATCAAGCAGCTGTCAATGAGAGTCAGACATGTATTGAATGTAGTTTCACCTGACATTTGTGGTCCTTTTGAAACTCTTTCTTGTGGAGAAAGCAAGCACTTTATCTCATTTGTAGATGAATTCCTAAGGCTGTAAAAGGAGAAAAAAATTTCTAAGCTGAAGATAGATATGTGAATGGTGGAATTTGATTCAGAGGGTGAAATAGTTTCTGAATCATCAGTCTCTGAAGGTGTCAGAGGCTTGAACAACCTAGCCTCTAAAGGAGTCAGAGGACAGAACAACCTGGCCTCTGAAGCTTTGATAGCTTCCGAACCATAAGCCTCTAAAGGAGTTAGATGTGAGAACTACTTCTGAACCTCTAGAGTCTGAAGCAGCTTTTGAAGAGTGGTTGGAGTTTGAAGTCGCAAAGTCTAAAATATCAGCTTCTGATGTGTATCACTTGGTGAAAGTTTAAATTAAGGAAACATATTGTGTATTAATTCAAATTTAGTTAGTTAGTTAGTTACTACTTGTGTATATATAATAACTACTTGTGTAATTTTATAACTATAACCATTCTTTCAATTAACTTTTGAATTTGTAAGGTATGATAACACCAACAATTCTAAAAAATTTGACGATGATATGACCAAATTGATCGAGTATCACTGATATTTTAACTTATCTTATACAATGTTGATGTTATTTAGTTTATAATATATTATTTAATATATTTAAAAATATATCATTATACATTCAAAAACACACTTAGTTGAATATATTTTTGTATAAAAGAAGGCACATCCAAACCAAAACTATTCATATAGTACTATTTTTGATCTTTTTCATCGAATGCCTTTTTATCTTAAAATGAATCAATCATAACTATAAGCACCCTAGCATCAACAAACTTTTCTTTTTATAGTAGTGTAGATAAAATTGTTTTAACCTGCAAAACTTTTCATTTGAATATATTTTTCAACTATATTTCAAACTTAAAAAAAAGTAGTTTCCAAATTATTTTTTATCGAAATTACTTTTTTATTTTAATCTCTAACAACCGGATCCATTATCCAACGACTGTAGAGAATATTTTATTTCATGCGTGGAAACTTTTTCCAAATAAAGAAAATGAAAAGCAAAAGAAAAAAAAACTTGTCTCCTATACTTATTTCCAAAAGCAAAAGCTACGTCAAGCACTTTCTGCATGGACCAGTTGAAAATATACAGCACATCACATGCCATTAATCATTCAAACAGAGAATTAACGACTATATATGTAGGACACTAGCTAGATGAAGTTATTGAAGTAAAAACCTAATACACTATGAATCAAATGGGTGGTTTCCTATTTTCTCTTCATATTATTGTGTCATTACTTTTCCTTTTCATGTTCTTGCTAGAACCAGTCTATGGCACCAAAAAGGTACACTTGTTTTCATCGATTTGATGTTTTCCTTTGTTACAAATTATGATTTTGAAATTCTGTTGCTAAATCCTTATTTTTTGTGACATTTCACCAACCGTTGGTCTTGTTGTACAGTGTTATATTGTGTACTTGGGAGCACATTCTCATGGTCCTAACCCTACACCTCTTCAACTTGATGTTGCTACCAATTCTCATTATGATTTACTAAGTTCAACCTTGGGCAGGTACAAAATGCATCGTATTGTAAATTATAGTACTATTATCTTTTTAATAAGAAAGATAATTAATCAATTTTTTCATAAATAAAAATATTAATTGCTTTTCAATAATTAAATTAATATATCATGTTAATAGTCAATATATATTTAAATTAAGAACTGTAATTATTTAGAAAAATAAAATAAAATTGGTATGCGATTGTTCTATTGACTAATTTAAGGGTATCAATTCTCCCGCTTATGGCATCTTGCATAAAGTAAGAACAAAGTTCTGAATAGAAAGAGACCTATAATTCAATTATTGACTACTAGCATCAAATATCAACAAATAACATCTGCCAATAGAAAAATTTGTTATCTTCAAAAAGTAAGTATAAGATGGTACACAGTGACCGACACTTACTCACTATACTTTTTCATAATCATCACCTTCCTTTGCATCTATTTATTTGCTTAATCATACTTTAAAATTTAATTTATTTCACTTTATAAAAGTTGAAGGATATATATATCATACGTGCATTGTTTCACAGTCGAGAGAAAGCAAAAGAAGCAATCATTTATTCATATAACAAACACATCAATGGCTTTGCTGCTCTACTTGAAGAGGAACAAGCAGCACATATTGCAAGTGAGAGTTCTTCCATATTCACTAAATTTAATAATAAAACTAGAAATGAGTTTTACATTTTTTGTGAATAACTTTAATTAAGTATCCAATTAAATTTTGGTTTAAAATTAGTTGACACAATAGTGTCTCCATTTGGACAGAAAAAACAAATGTAGTGTCTGTGTTCTTGAGCAAATCTCATAAACTGCACACTACTCGGTCATGGGAATTTCTTGGACTGCACAGAAGTGGTAACACTGCATGGCAAAAAGGAAGATTTGGTGAAAATACAATAATTGCAAACATTGACACTGGTAAGCTTTGGATTAAAAGAGCTAGTTCTTTTACAAGTTAAAGTTACATATGAACAATTTTATACCTTGTTTTGCCATTGAAATTGAATAGGTGTTTGGCCGGAGTCCAAGAGCTTCAGCGACAAAGGATTTGGCCCTATCCCGTCGAAATGGCGTGGGGTCAAAGCCTGTCAAATTAGACAATTTGGCAAACTCAAGAAAAACCCTTGCAACAGGTTCTTCTTCCTCTCTTGTTTACAACTTAAACAAGACATAATTTTCATCCTTTTATCAGTTTAATTATTCCTGCTATATGTGTATATATAAACAGGAAGCTAATTGGAGCCAGATTCTTCAGCAGTGCTTTTGAAGCATATTATGGCAAGCTTAATCCATCGCTACTCACCGCACGTGACTTTGTAGGCCATGGAACTCACACTCTATCAACAGCTGGTGGAAACTTTGTTCCAGGAGCAAGTATATTTGCTATTGGCAATGGTACTGTAAAAGGCGGTTCGCCAAGAGCTAGAGTTGCAACCTACAAAGTGTGTTGGTCTCTAACTGATGTTGCTGACTGCTTTGGTGCTGATGTGTTAGCTGCTATTGATCAAGCCATTAGTGATGGTGTTGATATAATCTCACTTTCGGCTGCTGGCCAATACCTTGTTAATCCCGAAGATATTTTTACCGACGAGGTTTCAATAGGTGCATTTCATGCACTTTCTAGAAATATATTATTAGTTGCTTCTGCTGGAAATGATGGACCAACACCAGGAAGTGTTGTGAACGTAGCTCCATGGGTATTCACAATTGCTGCAAGTACATTAGATAGAGACTTCAGCAGTACTATAACTTTTGGTAACAATCAAAAAGTGACGGTAAATGTCATCGTAATTCTTATTAATCCTCTTCATATTATTATTAACTAATAGTAATTAAATTTGAAATAATTGTTTTCGATTTTTTATTACTAGGGAGCCAGTCTTTTTGTAAACCTGCCACCAAACAAAGCCTTTTCTTTGATTCTTGCTACCGATGGTAAGCTTGCCAATGCGACAAATCGTGACGCGTAAGTACCAATCTCAAATGCTTTACTTTGAAATAAACTTACTAACTAATTAAACGATGATTTCTCACACTTTTCATATGTATTGTTGCAGACGACTTTGTAGGCCGGGAACACTAGATCCTTTAAAAGTGAAGGGAAAAATAGTGGCATGCGATCGAGAAGGAAATATAAAATCAGTTGCTGAAGGTCAGGAAGCTTCATCTGCAGGTGCAAAGGGAATGCTTTTGAGCAATCGACCACAACAAGGGAGAACGACTCTTGCTGAGCCTCATGTTTTGTCTTGTGTATCTAAGCCACATAACGAAAGCGATTACCACTCTTCTGCTAACATTTCTGCCTATGACATCATTTCAATGTAGTTGATTATATATCCGTCTTACTCTTCCGCATACCCTTTTAGAACTGTTACATTTGTTGACATGTTACGAATGAAAAACTCTAACCATACACATTATACTTATAATTGCAGGGACTCTAAACTAAAAACAGGTACTACAATAAGGTTTTCAGGAGCAAAAACATTCTATGGAAGAAAGCCAGCTCCAGTAATGGCTTCATTCTCATCTCGAGGACCAAATAAGATTCAGCCATCAATACTCAAGGTATACATACACATGTACTCGTTATCAACATATATAACACATCTTATATTCGTTGTTATTTTTTTCGACACGTTTTTCTAATTTGTTGTTTGTTTCAGCCTGATGTAACTGCACCAGGTGTGAACATACTTGCTGCCTATTCACTATTCGCAAGTGCGTCGAACTTACTAACAGACAATCGCCGAGGAGATCCATTCAATGTACTACAAGGAACCTCTATGTCTTGCCCTCATGTGGCTGGAATTGCAGGACTTATCAAAACACTTCATCCAAATTGGAGTCCAGCAGCTATTAAATCAGCTATCATGACCACAGGTACACTCACAAGTCACAATACAGTTGCCTGCTTTTTATTAAACAAACGATTTCTAACTTCACTAGTTATATATCCTTCCAGCAACCACACGAGATAACACGAACAAGCCAATTCAGGATGCGTTTAACAAAAAACTGGCAACTCCATTTGCTTATGGTTCAGGGCATGTACAACCTGACCCTGCAATAGATCCTGGACTAGTTTATGATCTAGGAATTAAGGATTACTTGAACTTCCTATGTGCTTATGGATACAACCAGCAGCTCATTTCCGCACTTAATTTCAACGGTACATTTACATGTTCCGGATCTCACAGTATATCAGACTTGAACTACCCTTCAATCACATTACCAAATCTTGGTTTAAATGCCGTTAACGTCACTCGCACAGTCACCAATGTTGGATCACCAAGTACATATTCTGCCAAAGTCCATTTGCCTGGATATAAAGTTGCTGTCGTACCGAACTCCTTGACTTTCAAGAAAATTGGTGAAAAGAAAACATTCCAAGTTATTGTGCAGGCAACAAATGTGACTCCAAAGGGGAAATACCAATTTGGGGATTTGCAATGGACAGATGGAAAACACATTGTAAGGAGTCCTATCACAGTTAAGCGCAGATAAACAATCTCTACAAAACTCGTTTTATCATGATATAAGTTGTAATAAAAAGTGCGGGTGTAGAATATTTATTAATTAGACACCTTCACTTAGGTTTATTTTATTTTTTGTGTGTTTTGATCCAATGTGAAGCATGGACTGCTCATTCCATGTGCGCTGCGCAGCGTTAGTTTCCCTTTGTTTTGTGTGTTTTTGTTGAAATAAAAGTGGACTGAATCATGATTGAAGGGGGAATCCAAGAGAGCTCAAAAGTGGTGCAAAAGCACTTACATGGTGTATAAAGATGAAACAAAGTGTTGAAAAAAAGCTTGATGAGATGAAACAAAGCTTGATGAGGAAGGAATTCAAGAAGGGAATATGCTTTGAAAAAAGGAATAATTCTAATTCAATGCGTTGTCTTTTCTTTTATAGTAACTTCAGCAATACTGATCATCTTTTCCCTATAAATATGTAATGTCCAAAGAAATAAAATTCAGAAGATTTTGGTTGAAAAATTACAATTTGTGTATTTATAAATCAAAAGTATAATGCAGAATCAAATAACTCAAATTATACCCTACCAAGGCTTCTACTTAAATTATACACTTAAATGTAGCGCAAAGAAAATCAAGTTCATGTAGTTGTTTAATGCTAAATTATATTACCAGTATCGTATATCAACAGAATAACTGAAGCATTATGACACGGTGGCCGGTGGAAGAAGAAGACCGTGGTGTAAGCACCGAAGCAGAAGAATAGCATCGCCGGAGAGGAAGAAGCAGTACGCTTGGTTAGGACTCGGTTCTAGGCTGCGACACAAGTCTCCTGTCACGACTGAACTGATCATCGATTTATAATTATTTTTATACGTACAAATATAAATAATATTCTTTTCTTCATATTTTTAATTGAGGTTAATTAGTACGTGATATGAGTGTAAAAATTTTACACGCTTCAAGCATGAGAGTCATTCATAAATGATAATTTAGATGAGATTAAAGTAAAATCGAATATCTATAAAATATTAAAAGTTATAATTTATTCAAAGTGTTAAATATATTTATACTATTAATTATAAATTTAATTGATATGCATGTTAGAATATTTTTTGCTGCAAGATATTATGCATTAGGTTATTAATTAATTAATAGAGTATATTATTTCTCTTTAAATTAAAAATAGTCAGTCTTTTATTTTGTGCTTGCAGCACGTTTAGGAGTGGGCTAGTAGTCAGTTAGGATCAACCTAAAATTGTGGAAAGATTGTTTAGCCTATGGCTATTTATTCTGTCATTAAAATTCAATAAAATGGTCAGTTTGCTTCAAGATATTACACATTGTGGTATCAGAGCGAGGAACAAACTGTAACCTAAAAAAAAAGGGGTGATTGAGAGGATTTTCATCATGACTGAGAATAGTCATTTTGCACAGGTATGCCTACCTAAGTTCGACGGTGATTACGATCACTATAGCTTGTTGATGGATAACTTGCTCAGATCTAAAGAGTTCTGGGGAGTTGTCACTGATGGTTTCATTGAGCCGGCGCAGGGAGATACGCTTACTCCTGCTCAAACAAAGGCGTTGGAGGATATGAGACTGAAGGACTTCAAAGCAAATAATTATCTTTATAATTCAATCGACAAGACTATCACCAAGAAGAGTACTGCCAAAGAATTGTGGGATTCTATGAAGAACAAATATCAAGGCAATGCAAGAGTCAAGAGAGCACAATTGCAGACTCTTAGGAGAGATTTTGAAGTGTTGGAAATGAAAGATGGTGAGTCAGTGAATGACTATTTTGGAAGAGTCATGGTGGTGGCAAATGCTATAAGGAATTGTGGTGAAACAATGGATGATGTGAAGGTGGTTGAGAAGATTCTTCGCACCCTAACTGAGAGATTCAATTATATTGTCTGCTCTATAGAAGAAACAAAAGATATTGACACCCTCACGGTTGATGCACTTCAGAGTTCATTGTTGGTACATGAAGAGAAATTCAACAAGAAGAGTGGTGAAGATGACCAGGCCTTAAAAGCTACTTATGGCTATGGTGGCAGAGGTGGAAGAGGAAATGGTAGAGGAAGTTTTCGAGGCAGAGGAAGAGGTAGAGGAGGAAGGCCCTAGAACCGTGATACAATGGAGTGTTTCCATTGCCACAAACTCGGACACTTCAAAAATGAATGTCCTAATTGGAATGCTCAAGCAAATTATTCCAATGCAAGATATCATCATGATGATATGACAGAGGAAGTGCTCCTTATGGCGATTATTGAAGAAGTGCAGAGCAGGAATGAAGAAGTGAGCTTAATGGTTTATGGAGATCAAAGCTTTGAGAGTCAGCAGAACTGGTGGTTCTTAGATTCTGGATGTAGCAATCACATGAGTGGAACCAAGGAATGGTTTGTCACTCTTGATGAGAAATTTAGGCGATCTGTCAAGTTGGGAAATGGCGACAAACTTGAAGTTGTAGGCAAAGGCAGTGCAAGGCTGGTAATAGAGCAAAAGGTGCTTGTGGTTCAGGATGTTTTCTATGTACCCGGTTTGACAATAAATCTACTTAGTGTTGGCCAAATGCAGGAGAAAGGACTCACCTTTCTTATCAAGAACAATGTATGCAAAGTCTTTCATGAGGAGAAATGGCTTTTACTGTAAATCAAAATGAAGACAAACAGAATGTTTGTGCTTCACACTATGCCAAAGAAAAGTGAGAAAAGCAGCTTAGATCAATGTTTGCAAATTACCAGCAGCAAGGAAGATTTGTTGACTTTATGGCATCGTAGATTTGGACACATGAGCTATTAAAACATAATGAAGTTAAAGAAGAAGAAGCTGGTTACAGGTCTGCCCAAGCTAACGGGAAATTCTAAAATTTGCTCAACTTGTATGGTAGGGAAGCGGCAAAGAAAGGCTTTTCCAAAGCAAAGTAAGTGGAAATCCACTTAGAGGCTGCAGCTGCTCCATGCAGATCTGTGTGGCCCTATCACTCCTCAATTAAGCAGCGGGAAGAGGTACGTTCTTACCATGATTGATGATTTTAGTCAAAAACTATGGGTTTTTTTCTTGAAAGAAAAATCAGAAACATTTGATGTTTTCAAGAAATTCAAGGCTCAAATTGAGAAGGAATCAGGGTCTGTCATTATATGTCTTAGAACAGATAGAGGAGGAGAGTTTACTCTTATAGAGTTCCAAGACATGTGTGCTAAAGAGGGAATCAGAAGGAAGCTCACTACAACTCTCACTCCACAACATAATGGAGTAGCAGAAAGAAAGAATAGGACCATTATGAATATGGTCAGATGTATGATGAAAGATACCAAGGTACCTACTACATTCTAGCCTGAAGCAGTTTCCTGGACAACCTACATTCTCAACAGAAGTCCCACAGTTGCTAACAAGGATAAAACTCCTTAAGAACTTTGGACAGGTAATCCACCTTCAGTCGAGCATTTTAATGTTTTTGGATGTGTTGCTTTTGTACATGTTCCAGATCAGCAAAGGAAGAAACTTGATGATAAAAGTTGGAGAGGTTTCTTTTTTGGAATGTCTCAAGAATCAAAGGCATACAGACTGTACAATCCCAACACTAAAAAGGTGGTTGTTAGTCAAGATGTTAGCTTTGATGAGCAGAAGGGATGGGATTGTGAGCCTGAAAGTAGTCCTGCATCAGCAACACTGATATGGGAAGGATGTAATGATGAAGTTTGTGATTCAGATGCAGATGACAGTGAGGAGGAAAGTAATCAGAGTCCTACAAATGAAGTGGAGGATCACCCTGCCCAGAATGAGCCAAATGTGACTGCTACAGATTTGGAACCAAAAGGAAACTTCCTGCGTATTTGGAAGACTATGACCTCAGTTTCAGTCAAACAGATCTATGTGTTATGCTAGCTTCAGCAGAGGATCCTTTATTTTTTGAAGATGCGGTGAAGGAGGAGAAATGGAGAATTGCTATGAAGCAAGAAATTCAAGCAATCGAGAAGAATAATACATGGCGTCTTACTGAGCTTCCATCACGTGTGAAGCAGATTGGGGTGAAGTGGTTGTTTAAAACAAAGTTGAAGGAGAATGGGAGTGTTGATAAATACAAAGCAAGATTGGTTATGAAAGGGTACGCTCAGAAGGAAGGTATAGACTACACTGAAGTCTTTGCTCCTGTGGCTAGGTGGGACACAATTAGAGTTTTCCTAGCTTTTGCTGTATACCATGGCTATCTTGTTTGTCAGCTGGACGTGAATAGTGCTTTCTTATACGGTGAGCTTGCCGAGGATGTTTATGTGGAGAAACCACAAGGGTTTGTGGTTGCTGGGGAGGAATCAAAGGTCTATAAACTTAAGAAAGCACTTTATGGGTTAAAACAAGCTCCAAGAGCTTGGTACAGTAGAATCGAGAAATACTTTCTCAAGGCTGGTTTTGAAAGGTGCACATACGAGCACATAATATTTATCAAAAGGAAGGGAGCTCATGTGTTGTTGGTAAGTGTATATGTGGATGATGTGATGTACACCAGCAATACTACTTCATTATTGGAAGAGTTTAAGTCATCAATGAATGCTGAGTTTGAAATGATAGACTTAGGGAAAATGAGGTATTTTCTGGGTGTGGAGGTATTTCAAAGTACAGAGGGAATATTTATCAGTCAACAGAAGTATGCAAAGGAGATTCTGGAAAGATTTCAGTTGCTGGACTGCAATTTTGTTCATAATTCGATGGTACCCGGTGTTAAGTTATCTGTAAAAGGTGATGGTATCTCTGTTGATGCAACTCAATACAAGCAGCTCATTGGCAGTCTGTTCTATATCACAGCCACAAGGCATGATATAATGTATACAGTTTTCTTGCTAAGTAGATATATGCAAGCCCCAACAAGACAACACATGTTAGCAGCAAAGAGAGTTCTCAGGTATCTAAAGGGGACACTCACTTATGGTATATGGTACAAGAAAAATGTAGGGAATGAGTGTCTATTGGGTTACACAGACAGTGACTATGCAGGTGACGTGGATGATAGGAAAAGTACTAGTGGGT